TTTTAAATTCTGTAAAATCTGTGGTAATGTCTCCTAGATCTTGATATTGTAATTCTAAAAATGTATAATTGATATTGTGTAATAGGAAGAAAAGGTCTAAAGGAGCAGGGGAACTAGGAGGGGTAAGGGGAAGGAAAAAAGGGAAAAGGAAAAATATGAGAAAAGGGAAAAAAAGGAAACAAAGTCTTTGCAAATAGGGAAGGGTGGGCAAGGGAAGGGGGAAAAAAAAGAACCAAGACACTCATGTAAAGGTACAGGATCCCAATGATGAATGTAACTGTATTTTATACCTAAAATGTACCAATAAACTTAATGGGGGAAAAATAATCATGGTAACCTATCTCATAGATTGTCGAGAAGACAGTGCATACAAAATGGTTAGTGCATAGAAAGCACTCAACAAATAATAACTGTCCATTGTCCCCAACCTCACATTGAGCTACATCCCCAGCCCCTTTCATGTTTTACTTTGAGGCAGGTTCTCACTATGTCACTAAGTTGCCCAGGCTAGACTCAGCTTTTACTGAGATTATAGGTGTGTGCCACCACACTCAGCTCCATTGTCTTTTTTTGCCTTCCACCCACTAGTGGTACTTCTATTAGAATGAAGCACCAGGGGAAATTGTAACTAACAAAAGATGAGTGGTTCATAAAAGTGACAAATGCTTTGATCAGCCCAGGAATGAGAGGCAGGGTGTTCAGGAGCAAGGGGTAAGAAGGTGAGCATCCCATCTGGTTCTGGATAATAAACAGGTTGAATGCCAAGAGCACCAAGCTGAGTCTTTAAACCCCAAGTGATCTCAGCAAAGAGCCACACAAGAGTTAGCTATCATCTTTTATTTACTCTAATACATGCACAGGTGAATTCAGCAGTTTAAGTCCCACTTAGACTCAGTTTGCTGCTTCTGTTTTCATCGTCTTCTAGGAATCCCCTGTGAGTAGGTTCTTTGCTGGAACTGTCACCATCACAGTTCAATTAGAGGCCTTTTTTTGCTAAGTCAATGAGACACCCTTCAGAATCCAGACTTCTCCTTCCGTTTGGGAAGGAAGAACACATTCAATAATATCAATAATACATTGTACTCAAGTCAGGCCTCCAGAAAATTGAATTAGTGGAGAACAGAAAGAAATTGAAGTGGAGGTAGAGGGTATTAGCGAAGGTGTAATTGTAGGCAAACAGCCAAATGCTCCCACCTCAATGGAAGGAATCAAAAGTTTGTAATAGGATACAGAGGGACCGGTCCATAGTGTCCACCGATGCCGAATCTGAAGGTCAGTGAGATGATGAATCTTCTCTCATGGATAATTACTCAGAAATTTGCTCAATGCTTGGGTCCAAGGAATCAGAGAGCTGGCAGATTCTACAGTCCTTGAGGATCAAAAAATAGGTTTCCTTGAACTTCTTCATTTTGCAAGCATAAATAATAGGGTTCATCACGGAGTTAGCATGGGACAGGAGGATGCCCAGAAACAGCACATCATCTGATACGTTGACTTTAAAGTAGAAAGCACAGTTGATGATGGACAGAGGCAGCCAGCACAGAGCGAACAAGAAGAGAACCAGAAAGAGGGACTTAGCTGCCTTGAACTCCCGTCCATAAAATGCACTTGTCTCTTTGGAGGCAGAGAAGTTCTGACTGAGTTTGTTCCGGATGACATAGAAGATGTCCAGATAGATGGCACACATGACAAGCAGGGGGATGAAGATCCAGGTGAGAAAGCTGAAGAAGACCATGTACTCCATACTCATAATATGACGGAACGAACATGGACAAGAGGTGACATTTTGGAGTTCCTTTGAGATCAGTTTCCTATTCCAGCCAAACATGGGGGTCAATCCCACCAGTAAGGACACCAGCCAGCAGAAGCCCAAGCCCAGCCATACTCGTCTTTGAGTAGTGACCCTCTTGTATCTGTTTGAATGGAAAAGAGCCAGTGAGTTCACAGAATTGCTAAATGTCAGGAGATGGAAATGACTGGGGGGATGTGATAAAGCATAGATTTGCAATTCTCCAGTCTTCTGTTAGGAGAAAACGGGGCCGGGGATTTAGCTCAGCTGCATGCCGCCTGCCTTGCAAGCATAAGGTCCTGAGTTTGATCCCTGGTACCGAAAAAAAAGAGAGCGAGAGAGAGAGGAGAAAACTGAATAGTCCATGGTGATTCTGGTTAAACTCTACTGGACATGAAGACAAGATGAGCTCACAATGATGAGAGAAAAATCCAGAAACTTCCCTGGGGACTTTCCTAAAGAATAACAGTCTAGAATGGATCAGGAATATGTTGCCAAGAGTTAGGTGCTTTCATGCTCTGTTTCTGGGTCCATTTCCAGCCCAAGACTTTTTTGATTCCTATGATGTAAGATTTAACTAAGTTCCCTGGGATCACCTGCCTGATGAGAAATAATCTCCTAAAAGCCTGCTTGCCTGCCGTGTTCTCCATTGTTTGATTTGGCTATTGTGCAGATACTAATACATTTTACTATACCTTTCCCAAAATTCTCTGCTATCTGTGCCTGCTCCTATGTCTCTGTATGCATGGGTGTCCATACTTGGGATTTGAGTTAAGTGAATCAACTGATTTGCAAAGCTGGATTGAACTGCTTCAGAGCCCTTAAAAGGCTCGTCCAGGGAAAGTCACCATTTCTCCTTAAAGCATACTTCCTAACAACAACCCAAACAGACTGTAAGAAGGAAACTAATATTGCTAAATACTATTAGACTAGATCTCAATTAAATCTCACAATGAGATATTTTATGATGATATCCATTTTATTGATGGCAATGGTGAAAATAATTGTAATTATAGGTATTGGGCATAGACTGCGTAGAAGGCATGTTTTCTAAGAACTTTATAAATATTAACTCATTTAATCTCATGAGGAAAGTACAATTATTATCCTCATTTTATAAGAAAAAATGAGACATAGACAAGTAACATATACAAACTAGAAGTTGTGTAGCTACAATTGAAAGAAGGTAAGTCTGGTTCAGATCATCTTAACCACTATGATACAGATGAGGACCTGCAATAGAGAAAGTTAAATAACTTGCCCAAGTTCAGGTTGCACAATCAGGGATCTGAACCCCGATCTGTCTGCACCTAAAGCTTGTGTGTAGCTCCTCACCATGCTTTCCTCAAGAGGAGAGAGAAGAAACATGAGACCAGTGCAACTTAGGACACTTTGGGAATTTGATTCCTCCATTTCACAGTCTGTTCTCTTCACGTGGTCATATGAAAGGTCAGCACTACTTTGTACAAAAGAGAACTTTTTGGGGAAAAACTCTTACATCTTATAAGAAGAAGAAAAAGAAAAGATACATTCTAAGAATCTTTCTGTGCCGTGGGGCTAGCACAGAAGAGGAAGCAAAATAATAACCTACATGTGAAAAGCAACACAGCCATCTGTTTGTGTCCTCTTATTCTTATCTTCCTGCTTCTTGTGAAATAATATATCTCATATATTTTATCTAATAGGTTTCTATCATTTTTAAACTCAAGAGTATTTTTTTAACTAACAGTGCATGAAGATTTCATCATCTTTAGCTATACTGTACTGTGGGACTGAACATATGCTCATGGTCAGTGGAGGATAGAGTGGACCATTTCTCTGTTTCTCATTCCCAAGTCTCAACTCACCATTTCTAAGCCCCTCACAGATCATACGTGAAAAAATATTTATTGTCCTCTTTCAACTTCAGGGCCCTATTTGGATTCACTTGCACTGAAAAAGTCTGAGACAGGAACTTGTTTGGGAGGAAGGATTCCCATTTCCTAGGCTCCTCTATCACTGCTGCCTCCCCTCCCTCTTCAAGCAGGTTACCTGATGGTGAGCTTGACCCGCAGGAATCTGTCCACAGCAATGGCCAGCAAAGACATGATAGAGGCATGTGTGAAGATCAGCAGCACACAGCACATTAAGAGGCAGCTGTAGAAGTCCATTGAGATGTTCAGGCTGATAGTAACGGCCACAGGTATGACCAGTACCCCAACTGCAATGTCGGCCAGGGCCAGGGAGACAATGAAATAGAAGGTGGTGGTCTGAAGACTAGGGTTCAACTTGATCACCCAGATGACCAGCACATTGCCCACCACAGCAAAGAGACCAATGAGAGCCTCCATGGTGAAATAGGTGATTTTAACCCACAACGGGGTAGCCGTGTTGTTGAATAACATGCTGTTCCAGAAAAGCCTTCCAGGTGACAAGTTAGTGAGCAGGATTCGTAGGGACCACTGGTCCTAGCTCTTCCCAGATATCTTCCCAGAGGTCCAGGTATAGCAACAGTCTGAAACTCCCAATTCACTCATTCCTTTTCCTTATTTCTGGGGTGATCTCTTGGAGACGCCTCTCCTTAGGAAGGGCCCATCCCAGGGCAATCACTTCTAGTCCCTTTGTGGGCCACACACCCCTGGCCTTTCAGAAACCTGAAGGATAGTTCAGTGTGGGCTGAGTCTGAAAATGCTGCTGCTCTTAGTTCCCAAAACAGACACATTCAAGGCCTCTCCCTTCCCCTACCCCCAGAGGCCTTTTTGCACTTCATCAAGATAAGCAACACTTCAGGGTTTTTCAGGAAGTGAGAGAAGTCAAGAGGAAGTAGACAGGCAGGAACTCAGGGCCAAAAGATGAAAAGAACAGAGGAGGGAGACATAATTGGCAAAGAGAAGGTTCAAAATAAGACCGGCTATGAGAATTAACTCATTCAGGGACCATGTAAGGGTGCAGGGTTGAGTAGGAAGAGCAGCTACAAGGAATGACTACACAGTGTTTCTGCTTTCACCGGACGCAGTGATACACATCTATAATCCCAGCACTTGGGAGGCTAAGGCAGGAGATGGCCAGGAGTTTGAAGCCAGCCTGGGCAACATAGTGAGTTCAAGGCCAGTCTAGATTGCACAGTGAGACCTTGTCTCAAAATAAAATAAACAAATGCCTGCTTTCTGCTTGCTTAGCAGAAAGATCCTCTGATAAGAAGACAAACAGGAGAAGCAGAGGAACAAGAATTAGACTTTGGTAGCAGTCCCTAACCTTAGTGAGAATTTACTCCTTCTTAGTGCATAATAGCAAGTACTCAGAGTTCAGCAAGAGCTGCAGACTCCTTGCTGAACATAGCTGGTACCTAGCCTTTGAGTCAAAGATCCTTTGTCAAAGGGACAAGCAAAGATTCTTTGCTTGGAGAGCAAAACTCAGCACCACGTCCAAGAGCCTCCCTCTCTCCTTCTCAGCCCACACCCCCTGCAAAGTCTCACAGGCCCTCACTCTGGCAACTATCTGTTTTGTCAAACCTATTTGAGAAAGAGGAGGACAACAGGATGATCAGCCATGCAGAAAGGAGAAGAAAGACAATGTGCATACATAATGGTACAGCATATCCTGGCCCTCTTGCTCCTCAAGCCCATTTCACAAGAACACATATCTGTCTGGGGATCAGACCCCTCATTGAAGCTGCTTTTGGGTCACTAGCTTCTGGAAGCCAAACACTTAAATGAAATTATCTGGTTCAGGTGCTTCTCAGTGCCACCCCCAGAAGTCACTTTAACAAGGGCATGTTAGAGACACCAAGAAGGAACGCTTGGACTAAGCGCATAAAGACTGAAGGCTTTATAACTTTAACCTTAAACATCTATCTATGTACTGACAAAAATAAAATTCAGTAATAACAACAGTGTTGTTCTGGAATTTTTGAGTTGACAATTTCAGTGGGACATTAAGAGAGATGCCCGGGCAAATGATGCTGTCAGAATCCTCTTAGTTCTGCTTCCACATAACCTGCTGATCCTCTGCTGTTCCCCAAGTTGGCCCCAGTCTGATCAGTCTCGCACTCATATGTCCCCCACGCATGTCACTTCTCCTGAGCAAACTCCTCAGACATTAAGGGGCAGCCCTCAGCCCAGTGTGGTAGTGCATACCTGTGATCTCAGCTCTCTGGAAGGCTGAGGCAAGACTATCACATGTTCAAGCAGAGCTTGGGCAATTTAGCAACTTAGTGAATGGGGTCTCAAAAATTACACAAAAATTTAAAGGAGGCTAGTTTAGTGTGAAGGCCTTGGGTTCAACCTCTAGTACAAGTAAAAGTGTATGGGAGGAAACCCTTTCTAACTGTATTTCCATTGTTCTAGCATTCTGTAGTGGCTGCTATGTACACTGGGACTTGAAAAGCTCTGTCCACCTTCTCTGTGGCCTCTTATACATGTTTCTTCCACAACTGTTTTCTTCAACTCTGCTTCAGAAGAGGAAGCTACTAAGAGAAATTTCTATCAAGCTGCATGAAAAAATAAAAAAACTGTCTTATCATACAGCAATCTGAAACATAATGTAAGACTGCATAACTCTGTAATCATAAAACTCCCCTAGCCCCACCTGTGATTGAATGTGAGTAAATAGATAAAGATGCTTCTTAGTTCCCGGACACTAGATAAGATCCCTATCAGTCATAATTATCCAACCCTTTGTTCGGACACCACTATCTATAGACCAATCTACAAAGCATCTGCTGACTAACAGTACATGTCAGGCTAATTAACATACAAATGTAAGACCACTAAACCTTTGTTCCTTCTTCTGTAAATTTGCCTGTTAACTCCCCTGCAAGCCCCTATAAAAAGAGCCTGGACTCTGGACTAGCCTCTCTAAGCTACTTTGCTTTGGGAGTGCCTCTGGCCAGACTAAGGTCTGTTTCACTTTCCAACTTGTCCGGTGTGTTCCTTCACGGGTGTTCTTCACTGCAGTCAGCTCCTTGGAGCATTTGGTAAGGCCTTGGTCTTACATTCTGGAGTCACCGCTGGGATCACCGGGTGTGCTCCACTCCAGCTCCTTGAAGCATTTGGTAAGGCCCTTGGCCTTACATTCTGGACGCACCGCTGGGATCCCTGGGTGTGCTTCACTATAGTCAGCTCCTCGGAGTGTTTGGTAAGGACAGCGGTCTTACAATAGTTAATCATCATAAAAATTCTCTATTCTTCTCCAAAACATCAAATAGCACCTAAAAACCTTATGTGAGACAAAGACCTTCCCTAGTAGGGGTGAGCCATGCTGCTTGGATGTTGCACTTGTTCAATTAAAGGACAGCTTCCTGGAGGGATCCGGCATCTCCAGACCTGGCTTACAGCCCAAACTGTGGGGTCCAGCAAGGATGGAGTGGCCCGGTGATGAGGCAGGAGTGTTAGTCTGGCAATGGGTAACCCTTACATTGAGAAGGAAAAAGACAGTGGCCCATACGTGGTCATGGCCAAGAAAGTGAGGTGAGGGAAAGAATAGCAGAAGCACAAGGGAATAAAACCTGAGTGGTGGCTCCAGCCCCACCAGAAATGGGCCGGCCTCATTAGGAATTTACCTGATACATGGATACAGAAACCTGGCAGTTTGTACTTTCAGAGTCTTTTCCTGTTGATTGTCCATTAATGTTCAGGTGAGTTCTCTGGGAACCCATCACCTTGGCTGGGTTACAGAAACCAAATGTAGAACTCTGTTTCCAACCCTACATAATGCATTCCCCCGAGATAACAACCCACTGGAGAGAGGAGGAGCAGGGGATGCTCTAGGGCCACCAACAGAGCCACCTCTTCCCACCTGGGAATCAAACTTTCAGAAGTGTCTGCACATATCTGGCGACTTTATTTTCTGCGAACAAGGGAAGCCTTTCCTTCAGATTTTCTGAATAGATAGAGCCCAGCACTGCTCCAAGGGTGGTTTGAGGGGTAAAGGGAAAGGTTTTCTTAGTCATTTTCCTTTTGGGCCTACTGAGGCAGGAGATTAGGGCATGGCAAACTGGCTGGGCGAGTGGGCACGACTTGGCATAGAAATCCAGGACACACACAGAAAAACAATTCTCAAAGCTCTGCACCTGGAACCAACTAGAGAGTGCTATCTTCAGTTCTTCTCATGAGAAGTCAAGCCCAGGTGAGAGAAAGTGGGGTCTGGCCCAGTGCTGAAGGATCTGGCAGGACTCATCAGCCTGAATCACAGGAAAGTGACTGGAATCCTGAGGATAGGCCTTGCCTATCTCAAACCTGCCTATAACTCCTTGAGTCTGATGTAACTGGGTATACCCAGCACAAGGCAGCAACCTTGCCATTAGTGCTGTGGTTAACATCCTGAAAGGCTAGCCAGAGAGACAATTCATTGGATCTTTTGCAACTTCTCAGAAAAGGCTAGAAAACTTCAGCTGCCAGCCTCCAATAACAGCAAGGTGCAGTGTTAGCAGGAGCCGAGGGAAAGGACCTCTGGAGCCCAGAACTGGCCCCAGCAGCTGTTGAGACAGAATGTCAGGCAGGCTGAAGGTGTTGGTTACTGCCCAGGGCTCACTCTCTGACTTGATGGCTGCTTGAAGACTCATAGAAAATCAGTTTGCTCACTTCTTCTTGGCCCTATTCCCACTTCCCCAAACCTTTATATATTTAAAGAGCTCTATGTTTGCTAGCCAACAGCAGAGGCTTAGAAAAGATCAGTGTTCAGAATCACCCTTGAAGGAGCTGGCTCTTACCCGCTCTCCCTTGCCAACTTCCTGTCTCTGCCTCTCTGTCAGGCCAGGGGGAAGAGGTTAGAGGCCCCCCAGACAACTTCCTCCAAGGGCTGATCTGGAACCACTGGCCCCAGGGTCTTCTTTCCCTGAGTCCAGCCACTTACACACTCCTACTGTGACTCAGAAGCCTTCAAGTCTGAGTACATGGAAGCTCGGGAGGGTGGGAGAAGCAAGGCCTGTGTGACCAGGTCAATGTTCCTTCACTGTGTACAGTAAATCTTGCCCGAGGAAGGGGAACTGCTCCAGGTACGAGCACCCTACCCACCCCACCCCCAGCCACACCCACGCTGAGCGTCAGAGGCCTCCAGGCCCAAGTGGAGACCTAGAGGATGGTTCAGTTAATTCTAATTAGTTGTTCAGGGTTCTAGCAAGAGGGCTCAATCTTGGGAAGTAGCATCAGCTTCAAGTGTGAAAGGCTTATGCTTGTGTCTATATTAAGGCATTATGCTTAGCAGTGGCCACCAGATGGCAGCACATTTCCACTGTCTCTTGGGACCCAGGCTGGTCCTAAGAAAAATGAGAGGTGAGAACTTGAACTTGGAACACTGCTTAGCCAGCGACCTGAGATGGTGCAGACAGTTAAACATGTTGAAAACTAAGGGAGAACAAAGAAGACAAGGATAGAGAGCCAACTGCCTACATTCAATCCAATCCCATAGCAAATTCCTGGGCAAGGATGGTGATACAATCCTGTAATCCCAGCTCCTCAGGAAGGTGAGGAAGAATAGAGTTCACCTAAGCAATTAGCAAGACTGTAAAAAAAAAAAAAAAAAAAAAGCCTCAGGAGGTGAGTCAGGAGAACGGCTACAATTTCAAGGCCAACCTGGGCTACATAATTCAAGGCCAGCCTGAATTACAAAGGGAGAACCTATCTCACAAAATCAAAATAAAAATTAAAAAAAGAATATTCCTGGGCAGTACCAAATCCAGTCTTCTTGACTTAAACATGTTGAAATGCAGCTTCATCTTTCAAAGCTATGAGTGTTCCATTGAATGTTTTATTTTGGGGCCAGGGATGTAGCTCAGTGGTTCTGCCACCTGCCTCGCAAGCACAAGGAC